TCTTATATTCAGGTATTTCTTGTCAAAATTGTTCCATTTTTGTTCAAATCGTTTCAGTGTTGTTTTCATTCTTTGCACATTTCTAGTAGATTGATACATTCCAATCAACAAAATACGTATTTTTCCCAAATGTTGCACACACAAAAATTGCCTGTAAAATGTGTCTAAAACTTCTAATTTACAATAATTTGTTAACAAACCATACTAGATAGAATATCCATAGAACATTCCTGTCAACCCTCAGGTCATTTCTAAGTATGTGTATGTGTGATAATAATTATTACAAACTGTTTTAGATTGGTCAGTCCTTTGTCACAAATTGATATAATATAGAAATTTTGTCCAGAGCATATCATTACAAAACATTTAAAGCATTTATCATTGCAATCAACACGGTAATCAAGTCTGCTAGATAAATTTATATTTAAATCCAATTAAACTTGACACTTTAACGAAAATCCTCTAGACAACCTTTCAACATTTTGATTGCATATTGTAATTTAGTACAATTTGACAACTGTTTCCTGAAATAAAATTATTATTAATGAACATGCTGCCCACGTCTGTTCTTGTTAGAAAATAAGAACAATAAACTTAGTATGCAAATAAATTGAAATATAAAAATAATAGGAAACAATCAAGAGAAGACGTGCCTGTATATTTGATGCCTGAAATAATGCACCAGTAAAGCTTAAAAGTCTCCATATGTCCTTTATTGTGTTGGCGTGATGTGAAACCCAACTAAAACAAATATTTGGCTATAGCAATTTGCCTGGTGAACTTCTGTGAAAATGAATTATTTATTTAATTAATTAATTCTCTAATATAAGGAAGTAACTTGTAATCAAAAGATATTTTACTTAGAAACTATAATGCCCAAAACTTGTAAAAGCATAACCTTTTTGTCCTCTGCTAAAGCTAAATAAAATATAAACCTTGGGCTAATCTTAAGGTTTCTTATTATATGTTAACTTGTATGGGAAAAACATGTGAATCTACCGTAAAAGTTTATGTTAGGGATTACTATAGACGTTTACAAAACTAACAGGACTAATGACCCTAAAAGAGGCCACCAGTACAGAGCCGGGTCACATCCATACTAGTGACCATTTGCTCACTCGGGTAGCTCATTTGAAAAATATATTAAATATCTAATAGCAATCTCTAAGACTTTGAATGAACTGTTCCAAGTTCACAGCTGAGCAAAACCATTTAATAAATTTACCAGGTGAATGGTGACATATGTTGAATATATTTTGGATACTTACTCAATGAGAGCTACTACATATGTGTTTGTGGAATATTTCATCTATCCATGCCATGAAGGTCCAAATATAAAAGGTGGACTTCTTCATGTCTAATTATTAATAAAGAGTGAGAAAAATGAAAAATCTATAATTAAACACAGCCCATTTTCATAACTACGATCTCAATAGGTATTTAGAAATTGCTACCCCGTTGCTTACCCCGTTGTTTCCTGGAGTAAGAAAATTTTCTCGCAGTGCTTATATTAGGTAGCTTATAGCTCTGTGGTTTCAGGGACGGATTCGAGACTGTGTCTTTTTTTCTACGCAATCAAGCTAAAATAAATTCTGTATGAAATAAATTAAAGTTTCCCCACAAAAATATATTTGAAAAGTGCTGATACTCGTCGATTTACGACGTTAAACATGTGTAACGGTTTAGTACCATATATATAAAAAAACATTTTCCGGCGTTACCGCGAAACACTATTCACCTACATCGGCGTTACCTCATAAGCTTACTTCTATTTTCTTTATCACCAGAATTTTAGGAAATATCACAAGTCTACCTTAAATCGAAATTATAAGGTATAGTATGCATTGTTGTACTTATAACAGTCGACATAAAGCCAAAATCTCGCTCAAAACGATAGTCAAGTCATCATTTTCACGAATGATCTTGAAAAGTAAACAATTTCGTGGAAATGATATTGATGAGGGATAAAGAGTAGTATCTTTGCAGCCGTATGCAGCTTTTCACTTTTTTCAGTTCGGTTAAATAAAAAATATATTGGCCACGTTGGAAATCCTGTCAGGTATCCGCCATTTATTGCACAATTCTGTGTTACTTATTGCACGAATCGTGCGTTATTTTCACATTCCGGCGTTACTGGATATACACGGTGAACATTAGCCCGCTTTAACGGTATGTTTATATATAGCGCAAATGACGTCAAGTCAAAGTGTTATTACATAGAGGATATTCGTTTGTTGGTGTGTAAGATATGAGTGTAAGTTCAATACTGAATTTATTGCACGTGTTGATTAAAATTATTTTATGCGAGCATATGGTATTTCGCCGTCAATGTGACCTTGACCATTGACCCCGTGACCCCAAAATCTATAGCGGTCATTTACTTTGCATGTACAATCATCATACCAAGTTTGAAAATCCTAGGCCTAAGCATTCTTTGGTTATTGATCGGAAACCGTTTTAACCGACAAGGTCAATGTGACCTTGACCTTTGAATTTTGATCCCAAAATCAATAGGGGCCATCTGCTGGTTATGAACAATCATCATACCTAGTTTTAAGTTCCTAGGCCTACGCGTTCTTTAGTTATTGATCAGAAACCCTTTTTCTCTACAAAGGTCAATGTGACATTGGCCTTTGACCCCAAAATCAATAGGGGTTATCTACTGGTCATGAACAATTATTATACAAAGTTTCAAGTTCAAAGGCCTAAGCATGCTTTAGTTATTGATCGGAAACCATTTGGTCTATCGACCGACCGACATACAGACAAATGCACAGTAATATACCTCCACTTCTTTGAAAGGGGCATAATAATTGCAGGTGTTGGGACAGGGTAGTGATTTTAAGACTAGCCCTTATATAAAATAATGGTTTCAGTTTTTAAAATTCAGGGAAGGTGAAGGGCGGGGTCTACACTCCAACAATCTTCTACGCAGTGATCTCCTCTTATCAGTACAGAGATCTCTGCCATCACATTTTTATCAATATTATATTATATATTTTTTAGCTTTTTAATTCATTTTTCATTATTTTGCATTCTTTTGATAATATTTTGATAAAATATAACGAACGTAGGTACGAAAAGTTAAAAATAAAACAGAAAGAGAAAGATTTACTACGTAACGGCCGGTTTCACATTTGAATTTTGACGTTACGTCATGTGACTTTCATCATCATGTGACGTCTGTGAAGGCAGTGATTACAATTCTGCCAAGGGAGGTTATCACTGTGAGAAGTTTGACACTCCAAGTGTCTGTCGACGTTTGCGGAATTATTTTCTTCGTATAAACTAGTGTAGACACCGGTATGGGGAGCGTTTATTATTTTTACATTTTTTTACCAATAATTCATCTTTACTTAAAAGGGCCCATTTTAGCGCAAAGAAACTAGTTTTTGCTTGTCAACATTTAACTGTGTACGACTAACATGCATATGAGCAAATCAAATAAATTTGACAATAGGAATAAGAAGTTTATCAAATGCCTTTTTAAGCATACTCAGTAAAGATAAAACGAGAAAGTAAGCAAAATGAATTCTTAATGATAATTTAAATACTTGCATATAAAGTCCAATACATTAATAAAAACTCGACAATTTTCATATCTATGGCATAGTAAGCAATTTCAGCACATAATTATCATTAAAATATCTGCATATAAATTCTTATGACTGAATGAAGAAACTCATTTGTTTTCAATGGTTACATCATTAAAGGTAGATTTATAATAACAATATCGAAATTTACATGCAAATATCATTTGAAATATGGATACTGCACTTATAAAAAGCAACATAGAAATTGAATTGGCAGCATTGAAAAGAAATTTGCAATAAGAATCTACAATAATGTGTGAAATGGCGGATATCCCCTTCCATATCGGAGAGTACACCTATCATACGATTAATGGATCCTCAACTCTTGACTATTTATTGTTGCATATTAATGATTTTGAGTTTGTATCACATTTTTGCATTACCCTATCTAACGACGAGCTTTCTGATCATAGCGGACTTTGCTTAAGTCTCCAAAGGAACAGTCACATCTCACCGCCTATTGAAATGCATGAGGAAACGTTTTTGAATCTGTAAAAACGTTTTCCATCTCTAAAAACTAAAAGATCGATGGCACTCACTAACTCAAGTCCAAATCTATTGTATACCGCAGCTACACGACGAAATGCAAAACGGAAATTTAACAAATTTTCTTTTTCACTCATGCCTCCATTACAAATACCTTATCCGGAATACTCTACATACTCGTTTTAAATATCGTCGCTTTACGATAAAATTAGAGTATTCCGGGTAAAGTTTGTGTGCAGTGACGAAGAAAATGCCGTTTTATATTTTCTTCGTGTAGCTACGGTATAAAATAGATTTGGACAAGAATTTAGTTTGTGAGTGTCATCCATCGTTTAGTTTTCACAGATGCAATGGTATTTCTTACGCAACATTGCCACTTATTAGCGATTCAGTCGTGGAATTGCCAAGTAAGCCTCTATAGTATACTAGAAAAATATTTTTGTTTCACTGTATACATATAAGGAAAATCATTGATCAATTTTAATCATTGATTAAATCAATGTTGACAATGTTATCATAAAAGCTCACCTTGATCACTTTGTGCTCAGATGAGCTTAAAAGCGGTGTTAGGATAAAATATTGCAACGTGACCATAAACTTTCACAGTGTAAACATTATCTGTTTATCAATCATTTTTCAATTTGATTTCTTTGCAAGAATATATGTTTTTGTTGTTGTTTTTTTTTCAATTTTATATACAGACTATATAAATCTGTTTGACATTTTTTTAACAAACATTGAAATTTAAAATATTATGATTATGTTGAATATGAATAAGTAAAAGTATAATTCATCATTGTGGCATGATCTCTTTAGCTAATTCTTACCAAATATTAACTTAATGTTCGAACAAATTAAACATTATTAATGAAATAGAAATAAAATACCTCACAATATTGTCTACCAAACGTTTACAGTTACCTTGAAATAAATGATGTCATTTTCTTTCGTGTCGTCAGAAACGATTTTATCGAACCTCTTGTTGTTCCTAATAATACTGATAAGGCCATTTAAGTCAACATCCTCTATTGTCCCTACTGCCTTGTACTCACTTCTAGGTAAATAACATTTCATCACTTGGAAAGGGGTTTTAGTCCATAGTTCGGCATTTGTATTGCTCCAAGATGGTTCCAATACGCCATGTTCATAGTATCTGAAATTTTCTCTGATTTTGTCTCTTATGATATTACAGCAATCATTTGGGCATTGGCGTGGTTGTCTCAAAGACGAGCTATGGAAGGAACAATGTTTTGGTGAGCAGAGCCCGGTTGTAGGACATTCTAAAATGTTTTCGATTCGACATTCTGAACAATGCTGTTTTCCACTGATTTCCCGAAGAATAGTGCAATGGAAATCATTTGTTTCTTTTTCAACAATGCCTTGTAACCCTTCTTTTGTTATTTTCAGAGCTAACCCAAGCTTCAGATATTCAGAAAAATTCTCCTTCGACAGTCTTGGTTTGTAATGTGCCATTATGCATCATACATGTTTCCTGTAATACATGAAGTTATATTATTATATAACATTCATAACTTTCCAGGCACATGATATATGACTGTCATATCAATTTTATAAATTATCGGACGCTGCCATTATTGTGTAACAACATAATCTGTGTGACAGGGCTGAGATTGAAACACATAAGTGTGAACATAACAGTCGTCTGGGTTAAGATTGGGATACATTATTGTGTAAATAACAATCGCAATAACAATTGTGACAAGGTTTACATGGGCATATAGTATTGCTTTTGTATATATAAATCTTTGTGACAGGAATACATTATTGTTATTATAAATATATATATACAAGAAAAGCATTGATGCAAAGCATCAAAGGGCGTCCAAACAAGAAATGCAGCAAGTGAAGATGAACTAGTAGACATATGATGACAAGATATTCTTATAAACTACCAGAATTGTATATCATTCATGAATGAGCAACGAAAGACATTGTTCATTATGAACTTTGATTGGCATGCTAGAGATTAGAATATTACTTGTTATTTCTTTATGATCGTGGTTATTAATAGCAACGGATATACATGTATACAATCATTTATAATCCATATGTGTAACGCATGATCAACACGTACCACACTCGTGTAATTGTCCCTTATTATATTATCGCTATTAGCGAAGATCCCCTCTTAAAATATCTGTTCATACTTAGTAAAAATATGCCACTGGTTATATTACCATGTTGATCATGTTGAGCATTATTGTTTATTATACAATAATTGTAATATCTATTAATTCTAATAAAAACAATACAAATTCTATGAATATTGTTTTCTTTTCTTTTTTGTGTTTTATATGCTATTTTTATACTGAGTTTTTATGTAAACTAATTTTTTTATTAAAATTGTAAAATAAATTTTAAGAATTCAATTGTCATATTGACCGACGATTATAAGTCAAAACTTAACTGGAAAAAGTCAGTAAATTATGGTTAATCTTTCAATATATAATATTGTTTATTCTTAAACCATGTACATGCACATTTGTATTTTTCTTTATCATTTTTTAAATTATCAATCAATTGAATAATTCATAAAATCTAATTTGCATCTTTACTAAACACGAATAACAAATTAAATAAAATGTTTCAAAATTGATAATGTCATATTAATACCATAAAAATGTACTTTTTTCTCAATTATTGTACATATTTATTGTTTTTATCTCATATAGATAAAATGAAACATGCTATTGTTGTTGTTGTTGTTGTTGGTTTTTTTCGAATTATAACGATATCAAACATCTACTCCAAAACCGAGAGAGACCGGACAATAAACTTGTGGTACTATTCGCTGGTCACTAGTAAATCCCGGTCAAAATAGACCGGGAGAGACCGGGAATTACCGATAGGAGTGTTAAATAGATATATCTATAAATAGATTTTCGGAATATTAAGGTCATCAACTGATCATTCTAGGATACATGTTCAACAATAACATACCATGATAACCCACTGTGTACTACAAAATGATAAATAAAAAAAACCCGAAGAGCGCGATTTATTGACGGAAAAGGTTATTTCATTTTTTGAAAATGTTTGCATTGCGAAATTCTCCAGTTCGCTATTCATTGTAACATATCGCGACATTTCGTTCTTAATTAATAATCAAGCACCCTCATACCAAACGGAATGATCGGCTTTTATTATGACCGACTAAAAGGCTCGAGAAGTTGCTGTCGCCCTTTCACAAAATCTGATTTCATTCCATAATAGGCGCCGCGCTTTGGCGCGGACGCCAATAAAACAATTTTTGTGATAGGGTTTAGATGGGGATACTTAATTTTATTGTGTATATATATAGCAGTTTTGTGAAAGGGTTTACATGGGAAAACATGATCATTTTCATTGTTTATGTAACAATCTTTGTTAAAGGGCTTAAATTGGAATAAATTATTTTGTATATACTAGGGAAGTCGGCGAATTAACTAACTTTCTTATCTAGTAATTAAAAGCGGCTGTAAACAAAACTTAAATATTTTATTATTTTTTGCAACTTATTTGTTTTTTATAACATGTGCTTTTATCATGCTCATTCTTATTGAATTAAATGACTTATAGAAATAAAACATATTTTACATACTGTACGAGGGACGGTCAGAAAATATCCGGACTTTTCATGCTCCTCTCTTTCCACGTGCAGCTATATACACACATTATATATTGGTGAAAACTACATTCATTCGCCAATAACGTGGTCAGTTTATTTTCAATGATAGTTGTGTATACACAGAATTTTGCCCTCTGAGATATGAAATGTGTTCTATCAAGGACTCTTTGTTAGAGGAACATCGCTCTGTAATAAAGTTTCTGGTTGCAGAAGGTGAAAAGCCCTGCCACATCTTTCAGAGGCTTAAAAAAGATTTTCTGATAAATGTGTATCTCGTTCAACCTTCTTCAACTGGGTTTCTCAGTTTCGTGAAGGCAGAACAAGTGTTTGTGACAGGCCTAGGATTGGGCGGCCAGCTTAGGCGGTGACCCAAAAACAATGGTAGCAAATGTTAAAGGCTTTTGTCAACAAAAAATCGTCGAGTAACTTTGGAGAAGGTAGCCAACAAGTTTGGCATCGGTAAGGCATCGGCACACAAGATTTTACACGAACACCTAGGCATGAGCAAGGTAAGTGCCAGGTGGGTGCCTAGACAGCTGTTCGCAGATCAAAATTCAACCAGAGTAACGAATGCAAAAGAACATTTAAGTCGTTTTAATCGTGAAGGAGATAAGTTTTTGAACCGCATTATCACTGGAGATGAGATGTGGGTTCATTATTCCGAACCTGAGACAAAAGCTCAGTCAGAATTTTTTGAAAAACGTAGAAAGATTTTTTTTTAAAATGTTGGATGTTTTTCAAAGAAGGGAGCAAAAGTCCGGTTTTTTCTGTTTTTTCCCCTCGTTTTGCCTTAAACTTTAAGATGCGTATGATATTCTTTTTTTTATTTCACCCATCCCTCCACATGCATACGCACACACGCACACACGCACAGTCACACACACACACACACACGCGCGCGCACACACACACACACACACACACACACACACACAATTAAACAAAAAACAGTTCGATAGCCATAGGTTTGTGTTGTTAGCACACTAACGGTGATCCTCCGGAATTTTCCAATAAAAGGACTATTGGCATAAGAAACTTATAATAATAATTTTTACGGTTAAAAATGAAACTATGTACTTATATTATAAGTAACGTCAATGAAAATAGCAGTCAATCATTCTTATGCTCCGAGTAACGTGTATTTTCCTTCTTTAAATGCACTGTTTTAACACTTATCTGTGATATACAGTCACAATCGCAACTTTCCGTCAGTCTTCGGATAAGGACCTCGAACACAGTAGTATGAATACACAGAAAGAATGCGGTATTTCGGTCTATCCTACGCTAAGGAACTATAAACATGTTAACAAATAGTGTGTTAATGCTGGGAGTTGTTGACAAGTTTATTTCCAATATATGTAGTTAAAGTCCACCTAAACTAAGTGAATTCATAGGTACAAAAGCAAACAATACATTATTTATATATTTATTATTGTGGTTGTTGTTATGATATCAAAATCAGATAATTCTTTACATGTTAAGTTGTACATTTAATTGGATTTCTTCCCTTTACTTGATATTCATTAATGCTATGTTATATTTCCTGAAGTTTTTCATGGCTTTAAAAAACTACCTGGTGCTTTTTCGATCAAAGTAGATCCCAAGTACTCTCCAGTAATTCATCCTCCCCGACGCGTTCCTGTAGCTCTTCAGAGCAAGGTTAAAATGGAACTTGATGCTATGAAAAAGGCTGGAATCATAGCCAAGGTCACCACACCAACAAATTGGGTGAATAGTATGGTCGTAGTCAATAAGCCACATTCTGATAAAGTTAGAATTGTAATTGACCCTAAAGACCTTAATAAGGCAATCCGTAGGCCACATTATCCAACAAAAACTTTAGATGATATTTTGCCGCAAAAATTGACTGCAAATCAGGTTACTGGTCCGTTGTTTTAGATGATGAATTATCATATCTAACCACATTCAACACCCCTCAAGGTCGTTATGGGTATCTAAGATGTCCCATGAGACTAAAATGCAGCCAAGATCTCTTCCAGCAATAGATGGATGAGTGTTAAGAAGGTTTACTTGGTTGTTGTGTCATTGTAGATGACATACTTGTTTATGGTTCAACTCGAGAAGAGCATGACATAAATCTTAGAAACTTACTTAATAGGTGCCGCCAAAAAGGCATCAGGTTAAACGAAGACAAACTTGTTGTTTGTGTCTCGGAGGTTAAGTATTTTGGTCACATCCTCTCAGCTGATGGATTGAAGCCAGGCCCCGGAAAATGTAGGGCTATCCAAGAGATGGAAGCGCCTAAAAACAAGTCTGAGCTTAAAACAATACTTGTCATGATAACCTATCTATCTAGATATGCCCCAAACTTGTCCGAGATTATTCATCCACTCTCAGAAATATTAAAGAAAGATGTCATTTTTCACTGGGATGCTCCACAAGCATTTCAGAAAGTCAAAGACATACTTACTGAGTGTATAGGCCCAGTGTTATCTTATTTTGATCCAAATAAGGCACTAGTACTTCAGTCTGACAGTTCTCAGCATGGCCGTGCTTCTACTTTAATGCAAAATGGAAAACCTATAGCCTTTGCCAGCAAATCCTTGACCAACTCAGAAAGGTCATGGGCCATGATTGAGAAAGAACTTCTTGCCATAGTATTTGGCATGACAAAGTTCAGACAATATATCTACGGTAGGCACATAACTGTAGAAACAGATCACTTACCCTTGATCAGTGTTGTTAAGAAATCCCTATACAGTGCCCCGGCAAGATAACAAAGGCTCTTATTAGCGTTACAAAGCAGGCACTCAAATACCCGTTGCTAACACATTGTCTCGGAAATATTTGCAAGATACTTATCCAGAAATTTCCGAAAATACCA